TATTTTGAATCATTGAATCTTGTTAGCATAAAGTATCATAAGAGAATCACTAGGGAACGAGGAACTATTGTTTGCAGATCAAAGCATCGAGACCGCGAAACTATATACAACACAATCGTACGGCTAAATTAAAGTTATCCAGTGAAAGAACAAACACTCGAGACCTATATGCGAGAGCTTCAAAAATTAAAGGGGAGAAAGAAAAAAAGAAGAAGACGAAGAGAAAGAGGCGCTCGACGAGCGCGTGTGCAGAAGTAATAAATTATCACACGCGGCACACATCGTCGAGTGCCAAAAGTGCGAGGAGACGCGCGCGCGCGCGGACGTCTCATTCAAGCTTTCCTCATTCGCAAGTGGCTTAAAAATCTCGCGTCGAGACAAATAAATGCCACGATTCGCGCGATAAGAAAACGGCAAAGCCACGTGGGTTCATGGACCGTTTTATGAACTAGAAATTGAAATGAAAATTACTATTATGTCACGGGCAAGTGTGTATAAAAAAAAGGCCAATGGGTCTCAATCGAGCTTGTCTTTAGACACTTTTGCTCTCGACTTGGCAAATGACTCGGTGCCATCGATAACAAATTTGAAATTTCTTTGTATATCTATATGATAACTCAAGCACGGAGTTATAATTAAAGTGTAAACAAAGCCGAAACATATTGATAATTTTAATCGATGCCTTCTGAAAAGCAGCGTTTTGCGAAATTCCACAGCATCGGTTAGCCAGAGACAGAGACAAGAGAATGTTTGAAAAATGAAATTATTAAGAAGAAATTGGCGAAACTGCGCGTGACCGAAAAGGAAAAAAAAGGGACTGCAGCAGCGACTTCAAAAGGAGCGCAATCAGGCGAGCGTAACTTAAGCGACCTCCGACCGTGCCGAAACAACGAGCCTTGTTATTTAGCCATCACTCGAGGATCGAGAATCAGCAGCAGCAACTTTGTCTCCCGTATAGATAGGGAGTTATACGCAGGTATAGAGAACCGAAAAGAAAAATAAGAAGCGCCGCCGCCGCCACCGCCACCGTCGCGGCGCGAGTATTAAGAATGAGAAAAACCAAGAGAGCGAACAAGTCATAAAACGTCCTGCGCGCGCGCGTAATAAACGCGCGGGGAGCTGTGTGTGCTGCCAAGCTCTATAGAGAGAGGGTGGGCGGATGAATGAAGACCGCGGCGTGTAATGTGCTCGCAGGGACAACGGCGCGCGGGCCGAAACAGAGAGAGAGAGAGAACGAGGTAGCACAAGGAGAAGAGCATCGTAATATGAACGAAGAGAGATATGCACTGGGCCCTAGCTAAAGCCAAAAAGGTGCCTCGTGAGTAGCGCGAAAGACAAGGAAAGACTTTTTTAAAAGTCTCTGCTTTCTCTCTCTCTTTCTTTCTCTTTGCCGGGATACCGATGTATCTTATTACAAGGCGGTATTCCGGGCCTCGCGCTGCGCTGCAACGACTTCGTCGGTGGCACTGGTGGTGGCCGCTCGCGCGCGCTAAACGCGACTCTCTCGAGTGCGATTTTCGGCTGCGGCCGCGGCGGTACAGCAGCCCACCCCCTTCGTCAAATTTCAAGCCCAAAGCCGTAATGAAGATGTTGTATACCAGCAGCGAGTATATAGCTCGCTTAAAACCATTTCTACGTGTACGTGTGAGTGTACATACATACACATCCGTATATAACGCGGAATTTGCTTTTAGGATAAGTATGATGAGAAAAAAGTTTTTGCCAGGAAGCGCCGCATTACATCGCAAGCTCGTTTCTCGGATTCCCCTGGGCCTTATTTTTCCCTCGGCAACAATGCCGTAATGTGCGGCGTTTAACGAAATGAATCAGTTGACATTTTATGTATGTGTGTTGAGTGTACGAGAACTTTTATTCTCAAACACTTTACCTATAAATTTTATCATGATGCACAGGTATTGAGTCAGGTCAAGGTACTGCCCACAGCATCACCTGTGTAACACCCAAAGCGAAAAATCCATTTGAGCATTGCGCGATCGGTGCGGATGTTAACGTAGGATTTTCCGACTGCAGGTCAGCTGAGGAACTAAACAAAGACGTGACTAATTAATCAGATGAAAACAATTTCCGAGGGTTCGCGAGCAAATTTTTTCTGAATTTTATCACTCTTCTAACAGAGTTGTCTACAAATTATTAAAATCACCACCCTAGTTCTCGCGACTCGTGACAAGTTTTTTCTGCAGAAAGGTTTTCGATCAATACCGCAATCAACCAGTGCAGTGGCGAGTTACAAGGCACACCAATCAAACCATGGCAGGGGGCGGTCGTAATTTTGGAATGAATATAAAAATTTTTTGTTACTATGTGTATAAAGATCTATTCACTTCATGTTGTCCGTCGAGAGTTTGTTTAAAAGTACTTAGTTTTAGAAGGCAAAACAATTTCTCGAAGAAATCGTCGCCAAGTTAAACTCTTTAAATTATTTCAAATATTGTAAAAATGATGTATACATAGAAGAATTGATACCTTAATTGTATACATTATGATTATAAACGAATATGACCATTCTTTCGACACACTGATCATGTTTATAGTAAAAACAAATCAATATAAATTTGGTCTTTCTCGATCAAACTAGCCATCATACCAAAAGATAAATTTACTCGTTCAACTTCTGTGGCACTTAATAGAAGGATCCATCGTTTAATTAAGTCACTAGAATGGATAAAAGTGAGAAAAAATCCGAGGACGTTTTCTTGATTGATAATTTAAGTGAACACGACATTATTATTTCAGACGACAAAAAATACGTTTGTGATATTTGCCAGGAGGCATTTACACTAGAATCAAGCATGATAACACACCGAGACACAATTCACAATGAACAGAAAAATTATACTTGCGACAAGTGCGAAAAAAAATTTGAGTTCCGAAGTCATTTGAGTAGACACCAAATATCAGTACACAAAAACTGCAAAGATTTTGCATGCGACGAGTACGAGAAAAAATTTGTGAAAAAATCGAGTTTGTTCACGCATCAAAAATTAGTACACAAAGATCGAGAAGATTTCTCATGTAACAAGTGCGAAAGGAAATTCGAAAATAAACCAACTCTACTCAAGCACAAAAGAATATTTCACGAAGTTTTTAAAGATTACTTATGTGAAAAGTGTGCGAAAAGATTTGTAAATAAACAGAGTTTGCTCAGGCACATAAAAACAGTCCATAGGAATCACAAAGATTACTTATTTAATAATTGGGAGAAGAAATTTACAAAAAAACATAATTCGCTCTATCACCAAAGGACATTACACAAAGGACGCAAAGATTTTGAATGCAACAAGTGCGAGAAGAAATTCAGAAGTAAATTTGATTTGTTAAAGCACCAAAAGACAGTACATGAAGGTCAAAAAGATTTCGCATGCGACAAATGCGAGAAAAAATTTGGACAATCATCGAGCTTGTTTGTGCACCAAAGGATAGTCCACGAAGGTCGCAAAGACTTCGCATGTGACAGTTGCGAAAAAAAATTTGGATATAAACACCATTTGCTAGTCCACCAAAGGACAGTACATGAAGGTCGCAAAGACTACGCATGCAATAAGTGCGGAAAGAAGTTTGGGCAACGATGCGAGTTGATCAAACACCAAAAAACAATCCACGAAAATCGCAAAGATTACCCATGCGACGAGTGCGAGAAAAAATTTGGACAAAAATGGGATTTGTCAATTCACCAAAGGACAGTGCACAAAGGTTGGAAAGATTACGCGTGCGACAAGTGCGAGAAGAAATTTTCCCTAAAATGGCATTTGCTAACCCACAAAAAGATAATCCACGATGGTCGGAAAGATTATGCATGTGATAAATGCGAGAAGAAATTTGGAAGAAAATCAGATTTCATCAGGCATCAAAAGACGATACACGAAGGTCGCAGAGACTTTGCATGTGAAAAATGCGAGGAAAAATTTGGACACAAATGGACTTTGCTTTCCCACCAAAAGGCAGTACACGAAGATCGTAAAGATTTCGAATGCGACAAATGCTAGAATAAATTTGGATATAGATCAGATTTATTGAAGCACCAAAGGATCGTACACGAAGGTCGCAAAGATTTCGCATGTGACAAATGCGAGAAGAAATGTCTAAGTAGATCAGATTTGTTAAAGCATCAAAGGACAGTCCATGAGGGTCGCAAAGATTACGTATGCGACAAATGCGAGAAAAAATTTGGACAATCATCAAGCTTGTTTGTGCATCAAAGGACTGTACACGAAGGTCGTAAAGATTTCGCATGTGACAAATGCGATAGAAAATTTGGGCTAAAATTTCAATTGCGCATACATCAAAGGAAAGTACATGAAGATTGCGAAGATTATTCATGTCAAAATTTCGAGAAGAAATGATGATTGGCAATTGTAAATATGTATAGATACTTACATTTTCTGAAATTTCATTAAAAATTGTGCCAATAAGATTGTGTCTTTACTGGTATCAACTATCATTACATTTTTTATTATTTACTTCTTGGTTACCAGCAGCAGCTCTTCGTGCAACGATCAGCTGAAAATTTTTTGTCACATCTTGTTTGAAACTAAGAATGGGGCGAGCTTTTAGTTAGTTACTGGATTTTTGATAAACCTCTTGTAATAATACGTGGCTCTAAATCAAAGTAGAATATTCATTAATATGCATTACCTAACATGACAATTTCGTGCTTACATTGCGATACGAGTTATAGAGTCGATAAATTCAAAAATTTTTCTTGATTTCAGGTTTAGAAGATTAGTTTTTGATTTAATAAATTGTATAAAAACAAATTATTGTTTTGTAGTATTAAACTTTGCATAATAACAAAGCAGATGTTTATATTACATTCAGCTTTCCAGTCAGCTCATTAACCTAACGACTGTACTTTTAATCTGTTATCTGTGTACACAATGCGGACTCCTTCAAAAAGCATATACACGCGAGCGTCGTATACGAATTTCCCGATGCCTCTTAAAAAAATGCAGGCTTTTGTTTGTATTTGAGCTAGAGCGAATCTCAGTTGCTCTTTAGACCTCTGAGTCTTCGCGTCAGAAAGATTACAACCATTTTGAGGTACATATTGAATTACACCTGTCACTAGAAAAAGTTTTAAATTAGGACAGTTAAATTAAATACTTAAGTTTCGCGGATATCTAATGCAATAATTTTAGTAATACAATTTTTCATTAATTTTAAAATTAAAGAAAATTTTTTTTTCAAATCATAATCACTAACAGTTGTTTTTGTATAATTATTAGTTAAACAAATCCGTAATGCGATGTAACTGTGAGTGTAATGAAATGCTTAGCGCGTAAAAAATGTATCGATATCGATGATCCGAAGGTCGTTTAGGATTGTACTTTTAAGCAAGCAGAAAACAGAGCAGCATATTTTAGCTGAATGTACAGCTTACGATATGGTATGCATCGTACTGTATTGAAATGTTTTTTCTTTTATCTACAGTGTACGTCCATACCTATGAAGCAAAGCTTCGTCGTTAATCATTTACCATAACCTCTCACCTGTTTGCAACGGCTGCGAATTTAAGACGATTAACCATGAAGGAACACGTAAGTTCAACAATCTTTTAACGTAATTCAACCAAATGTTATTATATTTTTAACATATTCGAATCGAATCAGAACGAGAGAATTTTGAAATACCCTAATTCGGAGGATATGACGGATTACGATTCAGACGACGATCTCGGGTCGACGCTGAGCGACACGGTGGAGGTAGCTTACGATGGTAAGTATTATTCATTTCTTAAATTGCAAAAAAATCTCGTATTAGAACGTAACACGTCTACACTATTTGTCTCTCAACAGATGCAACCTGCGATTCTCTGATCAATTCTTTAAGAAGAGTTTCCGTGCAAAAAGCTAATTTCAAAAGTGAAAACATGTCGCAAATTACCGAGAAGTTATTAGCAGGTACAACTTACCTAAATTATTTCTAGCAAGTGTATGCTCACAATATATCTAACTATTATAAAATCTTTTCAACAGGCCCGAATGATAACTCAACAGCGGCGTCGATAAGTCCCGCCATGCCGGATCAATCCACTAGCACTGACTCCTCGAACTATTCTTACAGGCGCAACAACAATTACAACAATAATAGATTGAACAGGCGCCCGTTCAAAACTTACTCTGGGTATCGCCAGCGCTTCAACAACCATCGGCCAAATTTACCCTACTTCAGGAGGGAAATCGCTCCGGGCTTGAAACGGCCGGTTCACGAGCGTCTGGGTTATCCGTACAACAATAATATCAATAACAACGTCAACAATCAGGAGGAATTCTTCAACAATTTACGCAAAGGTTTTAACGTTTTCGTGGACATTCTAAAACTACTGTGCCAAGGAGACGAACGATTGCAATAATCTGCATTTGATATTTGCGGAAATAAGTTTGTGCACTTACTTGTTAACCATTGTTACAATTAATAATGTTGAATCGTTGCTTTTGTTCATCGAGATTTCATTTCATTTTAAAGAATCATCGCACCATTACTGATAGTGTAAATTGAATTGTTAGTTATACTTATACGAAAAGTACGTTGTATAATGGCGTTGTTCATTGAAAAATTATGTCACATTTACACCTTTGTACTTTCATAAAAAAGTACGTTACATAATGTTATGAATTAACTATTAAACTTCTTTTTTGTTTACTATTAAACTTACAGAAATTACATTTTTATAGTTTATACACCCAATTTATTTAATAATTATAAAAACGATCTGAACTGATTTCGATACATAAAAGAAATATTCGATACAAATACGTTAGTGAATTCGAATGCAAACGGTCCGAGCAGCGAAAAAGGCGCGATGTCGCCACTTGACTGCAGATGCGCGGCGATTGGCACGGCACTCAAATCAATTCGCGGAATTTCACCCGACCGTCGAAAAACTGTATGCGAGAAAAGTGTCGGTTGGCGATTGGGGGGCGCGCATGAAACGCTATAACTCGTTGTCGCTTGTTTAATTCATGCCAAGTGCGTGCAGATTTTGGTCGAGGGCCGGTCATGTCCACAAGTCACTTTGTCATTTCGAGTACCATCGTACTTCAGTCGATTCGCGTTTTTTGGTAGTTTTGTTATTGTTATCTCAGTAGAAACGTGCAAGTTTCGAATGAACTCGTGTCTCGTGTAAGTGCACATTTGTTGAATATAAAAGACGACTATTTGCTGCCCAGTTATCTATTTCGATTGAAGATCAATACTGTATTACATTTATCGCCATGAGTTCGATAGAAAAGTTGACGGACGCTGACGTCGAAAAGGTAAGACTGATAATTTCTCTTTCTCGTAGTTTTAATGACCATTCCTATAAGGTATCTGATCTGCATCATAACGACATTTGTAATTTGTTTTGGTGTTCGATTATAGTTGGAGAGAGAGGACGACGCGAGTGATTATTCATCGGTTATTTTCTTGTCCGAAGATGAGGAAGAAACCAACGACACTACGAACGAGAATTACTTATCTCTCACAGTGGATGATTCTTTGAGGGATAATTCTATGCGTGATAATTCTATGCGTGGTTCGTATTTTTATCGCTGCTTCTAATGCAAACTTTTACGCATTTAATTTATTTCTATTTATGTTTACGCAGATGCTGCTGTCGTGCAACAGGTCGTTGTTGAGGAAGAAATCGTTACAACTAATGTAAGCAGAGGAAATAAAACAACACCTGCTGCTCCTGCCGCTGTTGATTTCAACTTTGCACCAGTGAGAGTGGTCGAAGTGGCTACCAAATCCACGCAGACAGAAGAAGCAGACTTTGCGACAAGTCAAGAAAGTAGTGTTTCTACAGTTGCGGTTCCCAGAAAATTAAGATCTTCTATAGGACAGATCATAAATTCAGAGTCTCGACATCACAGTAGCCCAGCCAATTCAACAATTGTCCACAATTTTAAATTGCCAAACAATCCAACTCAAAATTTGACTCAAAATAATGCTTCTAACTCGCAAATTACCCAAAAAGATAGTAGTGAAGAAAGAAGTCAATCTGTCCGTAGGACATGGAAGCAAACAAGAACTTATAAAAATAACAGAGTTGAACCTTATGAAAATCAAAGTAGAAGAAACTACCACAGAAATCATGACGATAATGATTCTTGGAAAAAGAATTACTACCGAAATCCATACAATCAAAATTACAGAAGAAGAAATAATTTTTGTGGTAACAATTACTATTATAATAAATATGGAGAATGGGTATGTGACAGGTATAATCCCAATCAATACTATGGTTACAACAGCTACAACAATCGTAGCAATCATAGTTTAGGTGTTTACACTAAAGGCTTTAAAAATAGACTTTTCAATAACTTTGTTACCTTCATGAACAATGTTTTTTCATACGACCCATATACTTACTACGATAGATACTGAATCTTAACATTAGTAAAATAATTTTTTAACGTTAAATTTTTTTGGATTATCTTTTCCTGCTTGACAACCATTTGATTGTTCTTGAGCAATTAGACTTTTTAATTTTTGATATGATTATGCATTATTTTAGAGTTCAATTTGTTTAATTTTTTTTAATATTGACCAAAATTAGACATTAGGAAAAAGGACTCTTTTGATTACTCTTTTTGATTACTTTACTCTTTTGATTTTGAAAATTATTCAATTGAATTTTTACATAGTATTCATTTTCTAACATTGTTCTTGAGAAAAAATATCTTCGAATCACATTTTATGTGAAAACTGAATGGAATGAATAAAAATCTAATTTTATTCAAGCTCTTGATTATAAGAAGTTATATTTATCCTTTATCAACAGTGAAAAAACGATTAATTTTAAGAAATAACTTTCCACTTTTTTTTAAGTTAGTAAAAGCTAAATTGTGTCTTAGTAAGTAGAAAAAAATTAGGATAAAATGTTAGTACTTTTATTAATATTGTGCGAAAATAAAATATTTTATACAAAAATCACTTACAAATTTATATCAAACACTGTAGAAGTAACATCCCTATCTCAATTATTAAAAGAGCAGCTTTGTATATTATGTCATTAATGACTCAGAAGATGAAGGTCAATCATCCCCTTCGAATTTCGTATCATTTGTCATTTTCTAAACGCGTATCCCATCTCGTTACAGGCAAAACCTTATTCGCCCACTAAAGAAAATGTACTTTTGCCACGAATATTCAATTTCGTAGAGTATCTCTTTTGAAAATGACTACCACAAAGTACACGTTTTTCATGTATATATTTTTTGAAACTCTCCCTGACACGTATCAATTTTTTTTATACCATGATTAGTATTTCGCTTGGTACCGAACGAGGCTTAATCATATTTACTGCCCAGTACTTTATGTGTAGCATTGTATCTTATACAGGCAAAAGTCGAAGCGTCGCTCATTATTATTATATATTACTTTCTGTCAGTCTCGAAGCTAAATGACTGGAAAATTATCATAGGAATGCATTTAATTAATCACCGCCGCGGTCCTGTGAGTGATCTATACGCGCGCCAACCTCTTTCGGCTCTTTAATGCACGCGACAGTTTGCCTATTACAATACATTTATAGCTTCGGCTTGTGTTCACGTGTGTGTGAGTCCGTACGCAATATATACATCATCGCCAGCTCGCAACTGAGAAATGCTCGATCTTTTTGCGCATATTATATATTGACATTGATGGAGCCGTATTATATGCTGTGTACCGCGAGCGGCTCGCGTTGTTTCGCCGATTATAACTCATTGGCGAGGTCGATAATAGCTGCGGTGTAATCAATAACATTTGCAGTGAAGATTTTCTTCTTAGATCGCAATCAAACATAAAAATTTCAGATAAGGTACTTTGTTATAATAATATGTTACTAACTTAGTACTTTTTATTGAAAGCTCCATTAAACCAATATCAAAAAGTATTGTATTTTTCCAGAGTGTCATTTTGTGCGTGTTATACGTCATACTACATTAATTTGCCATACCACATGATTGAAATGTAAAACTTCTTTAGTATCTCCGTAATATCTTCAATATATTTCTTCCTTTCAGTCTTAAAAATATTTCTGTCCGAGGTAGATTTATGATTTACGCATTTCTAAAGCCAGGCCATAGATAATTAAGCATATTAAAAATGCACTTGCCCCCTCTCGTATGCGTAAATTTGCGTACATGAATTCTAAATTTGAAAAGCTCGACGCGGTGAAATAATTGACATTAATGATATAAATATAGGAAAGGGGCTCTTCTCCTCTAATCGTGCGTCCTATTTTTTTGATACTTAGGAAAAATGTCTCGTGAGGAGAAATTGCGCGCGCTTGTGCTTGAAATTTCTCCTAGCACAATTACTCTGGCAAATGATTATACTTTCACGCGCGATTTCCATTCGGTACAACAACGAAATCAAGGCACTCGGCGTTTCGAATCTAATTGCGGTTGAAACGAAAAAAATATCTATATAATGGTAAAAAAAGTAAGAAAGAAAATAAAAGTGATTGTTAATTAATTATTCATCGCGTGGCGCGAATCAGCGTAGCGTGACAGTGAATGATCGCACACGCGTATGAACAGTAATCGAAGAAGATGACGATAATCGTATATAGCAAAAGTCGGAGCCGACCTCCAGTCGACATGCCGTCGCCGCCACCAAATCTATATAATATTACAATCGTATAGCATTAAAACTGCGAACACACTCGAATTATATATTTACATGTCGGTGGTGGATTACGTTTACAACGATGAAACAAGTAGTACTCCGATATAATATGTATATTTTGGCTCGAAACTCGATATTACTTGACTTTAGGCGCGCGCGTGCTCATCTACGTCGTTGAAAGAAGAGCGAAGGCAAAAAAAAGAAGATGAAAGAGCTCATAAGTACATAAACAGACGCGTGCGTGTTTGTATAATACTGTGGTACATACGCACACGAGGAATTGATATTTTTCATAAGTTTAATGGCGTTTGTAGTGCGCACGTGTGTCTGTGTGTTACAATACTCATCGAAATGGGTATACTACGCGTTTGCGCGAGTCACTACTTATAAATGTCGGTGATCCAGGGTAAAAGCGAGCGATCGAGGATGAAGCACGAGCCAAGCGGCAATCGCGGGCTCGTCGTTCGGGGGAGAGAAAGAGGGACTGACTATGTGACGGACCCCGACAGCCAAAAGCACAGTTGGCAGACGTAGCACGAGCCAGCGCGCGGGGTTCGGACCCCAAAACATACACACACCCGCGTACATCCATGTATATGTTATGTAGCCTCTTTATGTTGTACGAGTGTATTTGATAACCTACTTACACGCATGCATAAATATATACATGCGTGAGCTTTCGATTCGATTATTATTATTTTCTATTGAATAATAAATACAAAATTGAATTTCAAACTACTACGCTATTCGTGTCGAATCGTACTTAAATGCTTGTCTAAGCGTGCGGAGTGAAATAATTACGAGTAACTCCGAATGATCGTTATTACACGACAACGCGGTTCTGCACCTTACATATTTTGATGTATATATTGCTCATTCAGTTGAATCATGTCCTCGCGTGCCGCGTCAAAATCATTCTCGTTCGTCCAGCTGATATTTGCTACCGACTTCTCCATAATTCAGGAAATTAATCCGATGTTTATTTTAACGTATTATAATTGAAAAAAGATCAATTAGTATCGATTATGGGTCTCTTTTCTCCGCGCGATTCTTAGAAGCTTCTCTTTCTCTCGTGCCACCGTGTATTATATACATTTGCGTAATAAAGCTGTAAATAATCATAATGTGGCACGCGCTCGCGCCCATCCCACCCCATCTCTCTCTCGAGTACGCGCGGGCATATTTCGGCTACGACAGCTCTCCAAAAGAATTATCGCTCGGATACTTAAAAAAGAAGGCCCGGGCGTATTAGTACAAGTATGTAATGGTATGCACGCGTAACGCGAAGGTGAAAAGAAAATAAACCAAAGAGCATGCGATGAAAAAACATTATCGCTCGCAGAGTCGCCCCTTATAATATACCTATCTCCGGTTGTGGACTGGCACGTGCCCGACGCAGCCACTAGAGACTCCTTCTTCTTTTTCTTTTTCGTGCGTATACTCGAACGCTTTCGTATTATTATAATTATGTTGGAGGGACAGTCGACGCGCTCGAAATTCGTTCGCGTGTGCTGCAAGCTTTGCAGGTACCTGCAGCAACTGCATCACGATGCACTGCGCACTCGTGTTGAGCAAAAGTGCGCGCAAATTAATGGGGTTCGAAAAGCGACCCGAGTTATAACGCGCACTCGCTTTTATTATATAAGCTCGAGATAATACGTTACAGGTATATTATATACGCGCCACCTGATTTTTGCTCGCGTCGGCGGATTATAAACCACCACTCGACAGAGAGAGAAAAGGGTAAAAGTGAGAGTAGATTTCTGAAAGATATACAGAGACGCACACGCGTACGTACGTTTATCCTTTTCGAAAACCAAGGTAGCGAATGTGCATTCGTTACTCGGTATTATATTGGGCCTACGATCGGGATGGATCGGCTGCGGATTGTCGGCAGCGTCGCTATATATACTCACCTCTGTTGCTGCTAACCGTCTGCCGCGAGCACACTACCTGGCACTGCCCATATGCTTCTTCTTCAGCCGAGCTAAGGCATGCCTCGCGTGCATATACCTGCGTATATAGCACATACACCCCAATACAACCGTATATAACGCATTAAACTAAAACTTTTTCGGCTCTTGTACATATAATACTCTTTTTTCATCTTCTTCGTTCTAAGTTCCGACACCTATATACACGTCTGAATTATTCGCTTGTAAGTTTCAATGACTCGGATATTATTTTTTCGGGGCTCTTCGGGTGTTAAAATTTTCTTTTAATACTTTTCTAATACGAGTGTTTTCTACTTTGATGCTGGCCGCGACGCGTTATTTTTTTTTCGCTCCTTTTTCATTTTATATACAAATTAACCAACTGTTGCTTAAACGATGCCGCAGTAATGCGTCGCTTCATTCCTGCGAGAGTATCCTTTCTTGTCGTCGAATAAAATTCGTCCAGCAAGTCAAATTAAATATTGCGATGTAAATTTTAATATCATAATTGACAATACATAGTCAGCGGAATATCTAAATAATTGGCAAAATAAAATTAAACTTTATTGAATTTTAGATCACAGAGTAGCTGGGTACACACGGCCTTGCCGTCATCGTTGCAAACGCAGGAATTGCAGTCTTTGGTCACTATAGAGCCAGGTAAACATTTCTCGATGGTATTCGTAGCTAAAAGTTAGATTGTCGAGTTGATTAGTCTTGCGTCATTTGTCGTGTTTTTTTCAATATTAAATTTGATGCTTACGTTCGCTATTTTCGTCACACTCGATTCCGATGCACAAGGCATATTTACCGCTATCACCGCAGTAGCACTCTTGACAACCACTTTCGTATTTTTGCTTTGGTTCGCAGGTCGTCGTCACGTCTGAACAAGAACAAATATAATCGTTAAAATTGGCGAACAAAAAGTAAAAAAAGATGTTCCACATCAAAAACCTGATAAAAATTCAGACAATACTTGTAAGAGATTCGTGATAGATCGAGTAGAAGGGACTGCATCCCATCTTGTTACATTCCCATTCGAGACCATCGGGTGAACATTCACAATCGTTGCATTGCAATACGTACGAAGTATCGGGTACGCAGATAACTTGTCCATTCGGACTTCTTGCGGCATAAGCCACATCGCAATCTAGTTTCGTGCAGACGGGTTTGCCGCTCTCGTCGCAGACGCAAGTGTTGCAGTCGTCGTTCAGTATGCTTCCGGGAGTGCACTGATTCAGTAGTTCTGCGCGTAAAAAAGTAACGACATTGCTGACACAGTTTTATCGAGAACAAAAACAAATGTAAAATGAATAGTTTACCTTTGGCTTGATCCTCTGTGCATTTTTTAAAGCTGTAGGCGCATAGCGCCGATGATCCTTCGGCGTCGCAGACGCACGTGTGCGAGCAGTCGAGGTCGAATACGGAAGCTGGCTCGCAGGTAATTTGGACGCTCTGCAATTGAGTCACTTGGAGCTCATCTTTGTATTCGTTCACGCGATCTTGGCACTGGATCTCGTCCGTTTCCCTGTTGCAGGTGCAAAAGCGATTGTCGTAATAGAATCTACCTTTGAAGGGACATTTTTTTGACACTGCGTCTGGCGCGGGGCTCGATAAAACAATGTTCAGAACTAGTGCAACATTCAACAAAGTCGCTAAAATATTGGCCATTGTTAGGTATTTTGCGCGTAGCGATCTAGAGATTACCGTTGAGACTATATACTCGTTTTTTGCTTAAAAATGATATGCTATTTATAGGTCGTGACCAAGAGATAAGACTTTGAAGCGTGACAATAGTAAATGACGTAAGTTCTCGTGCGTATTTGTGATCATAAAAAAATATTCAATGGTCTGATAGCTAATAATCATTGTAAAATACACAACAGATAAGCTTGGTTATACACGAAAATGTAAGTTTAAATCTAGTTTTTTCCCAGAGAACTCGTACGGCCAATATTGTATATTATATTTTATGCACGTGTTTTTCGGCATTTCATAATGTACACAAGTGTCTCAATGTTAATAAAAAATCACCTCTTTTCCCAGAAGGAATACTATTTAAATTTATCACACAATTCTCATGATTTTTCTTTTGAGCTACTTTTGAAATTTGACGATGAACCACATCCATACAAAGTACTTGACCACATAATGTCGAGTATCTTCATTTAGACTCGCAAAATAAATGAAAAAAGGTGGAAAATGAGTATTTAATAAAACAGCCGCGACTAAAACTTGAGAGATAGAATAAGGATTAAATAGAAAGAAAAATTGAGAAATTCCTCATGAGACTTTTAAAGGTAGTTAAGTCCAGCAGTTGACGATTTTCCTCGTAAGTTTAAGCCGAGACCATAGTCCGGGGTTGATTGGATCGCAAATTCGCAACCGGCCTTATACGTAAATGTACTACCCCCGCTGCGTGTCTCGATGATCATGGACGAAATTAAAATGAGCGTATATACACAAAGCGGAAATGATGCTTCTTTGCAAGTTCCTGCTTTCGCAGTGGCAACAGTGGCGATGAAGAAGAGAAGAGAGAAAAAAAATCCACCACCGAAAAAGCCGGATAGTATATATATAATGTGGCAGATCGATAGAAGCGCGCGCCCAACTTAATTAACTCGTAAAAGTTGTATTTATTATATTATGTATCAAATTTTCGCAGAAACTGTTGACTCTCGCTCGCTCGTTCGTTCGCTTACGCGATTTTGCGGAGTAGCTCTGGTCGAACCTCGATGGCGGATGTAGGCGTTTCACCGGATTTTCGTCGGATCTCTTCGACTGCGCTGCGAAATTCAGCTTGTGCGTGCATACGTGTGCGTGAATAATATTTTCGCCCGGTAAAAAAATAATAATAAATAAAGAGAAACGAAAACGTCGCGGTTCGCGAGTACGTATAATGTAAATTGCGATAACGAGGACTTTTCGGTTTAATATAATGAAATAAAGGATACAACAATACGCGGCAGCTATGGGTACTCTCGTGCGTCTTTTGTATATTTACTCGAGGGCAAAACTCCGAGACTCTGAATAAAATGAGAGGAACCATCAACCGAAACCGAAAACGCGTTCAAAGAAATAAATAACGCTACGATTGATTTGCTCGCAAACTGTGGCGCCTGTAATATAAATTGTGTAATTGAAACGATGATGAGGTCGGGTGGCGCGCAGCAACGTTAAAGCCTATATAGCGCGCACACACACACGAGTCGACCAATATCGTTTACGAATAGCGCCCAATCTGTCATCGAATCACCTGTGTGTGTATATAAAAAAAAAGAACGAATAATATTATAATCGCGAACGTCGCGACGCACGCGTGTCGTAAGAAAACCATGCCGATCGTCCTCTTCGGTCGCTTTGCCTTCTTCTGGCTTTTTGCTTCTTATTATTGTGCCGCCGCCGCCCCGTTTTGACGTCCCGCCGATTGTCAATCGGCGGGAACCACGATGATGATTTGTAGCTTCTGAATTCCTTAAGTCGGTCCTGAGGAATGCGACTAAACGCGTTATACTTACGAGAGATAATGATCGTTAAGGAGCAAATTTGATGAATCGTCGCTCGATATTTTTGTGCCCGAAAAAAGGATACTTTGACCAGTGCGTCGAAGCATGAGTCACATTTTCAGAGCTGCGTCAATATTGCCCTATCGCAATTCACAATGACGATAACTTTAATCAGGTCATAATTCTAAATAAGGTCTAATGAGCTTATACATTATTCTTCTATATGCTACCTGAGCGTTCCGGGTTTTTTCCTCTATTAGCTTATATCGATTGTACGAGATACGAATTCAGTTATTATCATTAAACGCATCTAATAGGTTGCACGAGTTAATCCATGTACTTACAAGTTTGTCCAGTCGATTTGCATAATTATTTTCCACGAACGAAGCCGTCACTCCATTTTTTTTATAAAAAAAAAAATAATAATAAATATCAATATTCGCTTGTTTTATACTCGCGAAGCTTCCGGTCAATAAGTATCCGATCGAATAAACGTCTCTAGTTGAGCTTCACACTTCGTCGATCTTCGTCGCCCGATCGTGTTTCTCTTCTTCTTCGAAGGGACTGATTTGTAGAATATATGACATGCATGCAAATCTAACGGGCTGATCTCTATTGCTCGAAGTGACTTTTTTTCTCTATTGCTCTATAAACGATTATACAATTAGTCGACGATGGTTGTCATCGATTACTTTCATTCCTTGCAACGAGCTCTTAAATTTGATCAACAGGTATGGAATGTATGCATGGTCCAGCCTTTCTAGACATACCACCCGTACTCGAGCTTCTCTTTTGATTTCAAACCATCAAGGCTCTTTAGAATTACCGCACGATTGAAGTGTGATTGTTCAGAGAATCACGAGTTCACACTTGCCGTCGAGTTTCAATCGGATGATTATAATGGGTGTGACAGGAAATATTGCATCGGTGACCTAATAAGCCATTTTAAACTCAATTAGCTTCGGTTAATTTAAGACTCGCTACTGGGTAATGTAGGTGGTCTACATAAAGATGAGTCTCTAAGATAAAGATCAGTCGCGTGCCATTGTGTCAGTTATCTGTATATATCCGTGACTATTAAATGGCCTTGATCGGGATTATAATGAATCGTAGACATCTCTGATTTTCTTTTTAAGAAAGTTTGTGTCAAACGAACTTTAAATACCTCTTTAAAGAGTCAATAATTATACTTTGTGATATGAAAATGAGGTAAATGTGTCGTTAAATACATTTTTATGAAAAATGATTAAAATTTTATTCAAATATTGAATAATTAAATGAATAATTCGAAATTATTTTAATTTGACCTTTATTTTACCTCGATAATTCAAAATTTAAGTCTGCAATCTATGCATTTCGAATTAACGAGGTTTTACTTCGGTAAATACGTATGTTTGGGTGCGTAAACCATTGGCGCGCGACATAATCGAATCAACTTGGCACTGTCGATGCTTGTCGCATTCTCTTTAAAAACTTCGGTGGTATACTAAAAAGCAAAGGTTCCGAGAAAGTTTCCGAGATTCGATGCTCCGTCTACAGTAGAATAAAATGTATAGCTCTTTTCCGATCGACACACGCGCGACACTGCCTCCGTAAAATCTCCGGTCTCGCTTGTATACATGCTATACATAATAATACTGCTCGTGTCAACGGGATCGTTACGCGTGTCCGTAATAATTTAAAATGTATCTCCAAACAAGATCTCTCGCGAGCAGGACTACCGTGAATCCAATTCGAGCTACTTTGTAACATGTGCTTACACGCGCCGCGCGATTCCGTCTCGTTTTCGCGTTAAACAAATGTCAAAGCCGCGCGCGCGCGCGTTATGTATCCGCACATCCGCGAAACATATATATTGTATATCGAAATCCACTCGTTGAGAGTACGAAATTCGATATGTATACACCTACTGCAACCGATTTTTCTCGATTTTATTGTATACGATTAGCGTCGTGATCTCTCAAAACTGATTTTCGTCTGCGAGTGAAAATCTCAGCTTCGAAGTTCGAGTTCGTCTCCGTGGAGCGAGTAGTTGCATATTATTATACGCGCAGAGCTGCATGCCTATATTACAAGAGGTGCTAACGTTTCAACATTTTTAACGCTGGTCATTGGACACCCGAAAAAAAATGACATCGCGCCTGCCGATGATGATGTGCATCTCTTGCTCCCATATATAACCCAGCTAGAGGATGAATTTCCAAAAAGAGCTCCGAGATGGTCGCGTCACGGGTGGTCTCCTCGAGTATATAGGACCGATCTCGATATCGTCGACACAATCTTCGAGATCGTGTGTCAAGTCGCGAACCCCTGCCACCAATATATCGCATGAGCTTTGTTACTGGCCATATAGGCTACGATAGTCAGCGAGTAAAGCTATGCTTCTGCATCTCGATATGATTACACGCGTGCGAATCTCACGAAATACGCGCTCGGCGCTTCGAAGGGCATTCATGACTTCTTCGATTACATATATTGCGACCCCCCCTAATACGTTGGTTTTTTTTGTAATATTTACTTTTTATCGACAGCTTATAATATTTATCGTTTCACGTCTTTGATATATGATCAATTAATTTTTTACGAACTTTCGAGCGCCGCGCGGCCTCTTGTATTCCGTTGAACTCGATAAATTACTAATCATTAATAACTACGTACATCATCGATTTAGTTGCAAACCATAAGTGACCTCAATCGAACAAATTCTTCCAGAAAAATTAAATACCCCACCGGGACTGATTGCCACGTGCATAGATGAAAGCCAAAAGTGTTTTGAAGTACCCCTTCGGTAATCTTTTCGAAACTTCGTTAAAACTTCGATGTCACGCCTCTAAAGATTCTTTGGTATACCTTTTTCAGTTCGATATCCGATAGCGCGACATTATCAGATTTTTCGCATAACTTAAAAGTCAAATTTCGCCGTGTACGGAATTTTCTTACATTACCTCAACTTCTTTTTTTTTTCGAAATTCTTCGTACTTCGGTATCGGTGTTATATGGTGCATTGGATATTACCGACACACCCACATAACTTAACAAATCTACACGTACATCAGTGAACACACACGCATACTCACGTTGAGGTAAAAAGCACACGGTATCCACTTGCTTGGCTCGTCGAGAGAGATCGAGTCAAAGCGAGAAGGGCAATATAATATCGATTATGCGCCCTTGCGCGACTTGTGCTCTCTCCATTGAACTA